TTACTGTGATTTCTCAGGGAAGGTACATCTTGCAAGCTAGACACAGGCCTCAGATACCTGCTTACCCCTCCCAAGTGGAAACTATCCCTACTTTGGGGTCACTCGTGGCGGACAGAAGTTTACTTTGAAAAGATTCAGCTAACCAGTCTCCCTCCAGCCTCTATTACCTTCTTTCTTCTCTAAAGTGGAGGACCATGTCTATAAATGAGGGCTTTGATGTGTTGAATTGTTTCCCTTCAAAAGATATGTTGAAGTTCTAACTTCCAGTACCTCAAAATGTGACCTTATTTGGAAATAAGGTCATTGCAGATGTAATTAGTTAAGATGAGGGCATCCTGGATTTAGAGTGGGCCCTTAATCCAATATGACTGGTGCGCTTATAAGAAGAGGAGGACAGACACAGAGGGGAGACCATTGCTATGGACTGAATTGTGTCCTCCCAAAATTCATATGTTGAAGCCCTAACCCCCAATGTGATGGTATTTGGAGATGGAGCCTTTGGGAGGTAATTACGTTCAGATAAGGTCATGAGGGTGGGGACCTCATGATGGGATTAGTGCCCTTAGAAGAGGAAGAGACACCAGAGATCGCTCTCTCTACCATGTGAGGACACAGTGAGAGGACCAAGCCAAGAAAAAAGCTCTCACAAGAACCTGACCATGCTGGCACTTATCTCGGACTTCGAGCCTCAAGAACTGTGAGAAAAGAAGTTTCTGTCATTTAAGCCACTCAGTCTATGGTATATTGTCATGGCAGCCCAAGCTGTCTAATACAAATACCATGTGATGACAGGCAGAGATCGGAGCGATAAGGCTGCAAGTCAAGGAATGCCAATGATTGATGGCCATCACCATAACCCAGAAAAAGGCAAGGGACGATTCTACCCAGAGTCTCAGAGGGAAAAGGGCCCTGCTGACACTTTGATTTGGATTTCCAATCTCCAGAACTGTGAGAGAATAAGTTTCTGCTGTTTTAAGCTACCTGGTTTGTCATACTTTGTTACAGTAGCCCTAGGAAACTAATACAAGTGTCATTGTGAAGTTGGTGGAGGAAGGTTGGAAATGGGCAGGAGATGACTCAAGGTCTTCCTCTGCCTTATCTCCAGTCGTAAGCCGTGGTTAGAAGCTCCTCAGACCTGAAGGTTAGTCAGAAATTAAGATAAATCCACTCCAAAATTATTATATCAGGCATGGGAGGGAACTCAATTTTCCAAAGGTCAGTTTATATCTAACATCTTCAGAGTCCATCTGTTGTATAAGACAAGGTGTATCTTGGTTTTATTAGGCCAAAATTCCTGCCAGGAAATGGGTTGTGATTTTCTTGCCCAAAGCATTTCATTTAACCGTGTACCTGGTGAATGGGGACGAGCTGTGAACCAGGAAGCTCCCTAAGATTGGAAATCTTACTGAAATGAGCAAGGATGAACTGGGGAATGTAGGAAAAAGGGTCCTCTCTATTTTTCATTTCAAATTCAGAGAAATATTTAAGGCATCTGCATTTCAGTACCTTTCAAGTCAAGGATATGCATCTATTTCTAATATTTTTCAGGGATCAAGAGGAGAATGCACATAAAGCCTTTGAAAATGTGTGTGGATAAACGTCTATGTGAACATATGGCAAGGGAGTGTGATCCTGTTAAACACTTGCTGTGTTTGGCAGGAGCAAAGAGCTAGAATGCCTGCTCACTTAGTTCTTCCCACCCCCTCAGATGTGAGTCTTAGCAGGTGGGAGGATGTGGTGCATGCTTCCTGAGGTCCATGTAGGAAAAACAAACTACAGTCGCAGCCACAGTTTTGGCCCATGCCAAAGCAATATCAGGACACGAATGGAGAGTATATGTTGCTCTGAGGGTGGAGCCTGTAAAATGTGCGGAAGATGCACAGTGCCCTTCCAGTCACTGAGGAGCAACTGCACTGATGTGTTTATAGGGCTCTGTCAGTAGCTATGCGCTCTGTATTTCATAGCATTTCAGTGAGATGCCACGTGCCAAATCAAACCTTCCTCCACATGCTGTTTGGCCTCTCTGCCCTTGATGCCAACTTTAGAACAAGTGCAGCTTTAGGAACTGAAATGACTGTGGCCTAAAACTGCCACCTGGAAATTGGGAAGGCTCTTTGGCACATGCTGTTTCTTTTCGTTGTATATTCTTCATCTCTCTGCTATCTCATCCTTCAGGTCTCAGCTTATATATCTCCTGCTCAGAGAAGCTTTGCTGATCACCAGGTTCTTCTTCTTTCTTCTTCTTCTTCTTCTTCTTCTTCTTCTCCTTCTCCTTCTCCTTCTCCTCCTTCTCCTCCTTCTCCTCCTTCTCCTCCTTCTCCTCCTTCTCCTCCTTCTCCTCCTTCTCCTTCTTCTTCTTCTTCTTCTTCTTCTTTTTATTTTGAGGAAGATTAGCCCTGAGCTAACATTTGCTGCCAATCTCCCTCTTTTTGCTGAGGAAGACTGGCCCTGAGCTAACATCCATGCCCGTCTTCCTCTACTTTACAAGTGGGACGCCTGCCACAGCATGGCTTGCCAAGCAGTGCCATGTCCACACCCGGGATCCAAACCGGCAAACCCCGGGCGGCCGAGAAGGGGAACGTGCGAACTTAACTGCTGCGCCACCGGGCCAGCCCCACCAGCTTCTTCTCATAGTCAGAATTTCGCAGGTTTGTAATAATTCACTCAATTTTATTTATCATCATTGTTTAATACCTGTCCTTCTCACCAAATTGTATGAGGTTCTTTTTTGTTCTAGAGAATGCCTGGCACATAGTAGGCATTTGATAAATATTGCTGACTAATTGGAAGTCCAGTGTCATCCTACCTGAAAAATTGCTGCCTTTTGGTTGATTCTCAAAAAAAAGAAGAGGCATATGGTGAAGGAGACAAAGAAATTGTCACAGATCTCTCATTTTCAAAGAGCTCCTTCACATTATAAAAGAGAAGGAAGCAAGGAAGAGAGACAATTCAAAGGAAAATGGGCAAAGGATACGAAAAGGCAATTCACAGAAGAAATTCAAATAGCCAACAAATATAGAAAAAGATGCTCCTCTAGACTAGTAATCATAGAAATGAAAATTAAAAAGAATATTTTATACCCTTCGATTGGCAAAAATGTAAAAGATTGGTAAAATTCATTGTTAGAAAGGATTTAGGGAATAGGGTGCTCTTATATACTGTTGGTAGTTCAGAACTGTGCAACCTGTATGAAGGGCACTGGTAGTATTTTTAACATGGAAACTATGTCTACATTTTTTGTTTAATAGGGAACAATTGGAAACCACTTAACTTCATACAATAGGGAAATGGTTAAACAAATCTTAGTACATTCCTGCTACAGAATCCTTCAGCTATAGATATTAACATCCATGAAAATCTATGTAAATTTTTTTAAAAAGGAGATTGCAGAACAATATGTATAATATGATCCCAATTAAATAAAAATATATAAAAGTATATTCTACACCTATTAAATAGTTGGTGTGAATATTATAATTATAAATAGTTCGTGTGAATTCTTTGAGACCTTTTCCCCTGAGGAAGTGAGAATGGGGGTTTTGCTTTTTACAATGAACACGTACTGCTATTTTTCAAAAGAACTTTACTGAAGTGCAGTTGACATAAACTGCACATATTTAAAGTGTCCAATTTGTTTTGACATTGTATGTATCTGTGAAACTATCACCACAACCAAGATAATATCACCCCCAACAGCTTTGTGTCTCTTTGAAATCCTTCCTTCCTGCCTCTTTCAAAAGCAATGCCTGTTCGCTAGCTACCACTGATCTACTTTCTATCACTACAGATTAGTTTGCGTTTTCTAGAATGTTATATAAATGAAATCATACAGTATGTACTGTTTTTCTCTGACTTCTTTCAGCATAATTATTTTGAATTCATTTATTTTGTTGGAAGTGTGAATAGTTTGTTCTTTTTTATTGCTGAGTATTATTCCATTGTATGGATCTATCACAATTGGTTGATCCATTCACCTGTTGATGGACATTTGGATTATTTCCAGTGCTTGGCTATCACAAATAAAGATGCTATAAACATTCATGTATGAGTCTTTGTAAGGACATATGCTTTTTCTTCCCTTGGGTAAATAGCTAGCAGTGGAATGTCACAAGATAGGTGTCTGTTTAGAATTTTAAGAAATTGCCAAGAAGTTTTCAAAGTGGTTGTACCATTTTACATTCCCACCAGAGATGGGAGCATGGGGTTGAGGCACTAAATAAGTGGTCTCTTCACCATCATGAGGTGAGGTAGTGACAGCAACCATCAGCTCAATGTGTAGATTAAATCAGAGATTGCCCGGCTAAAATGCATCCAGTCCTTTTTAGTCAGATTCCTTTCAGAATCTGATTAAGGTCATGGTCCATGTGGAGTGTAGGACCACACACACACACGCACATGCACAAACGCCAGGTAGGAATCATTCACATGGGAAACGGCGATGGCCTGAACAAAAGCTGTGACACTTGGGATGGAAAGGGGAGGGCTGGAGTTCAAACATATTAAAAAGTTACAATTCTTGGGACTTGGTAAGAGGGAGAGAGAAGACGCTGCCCACGTTTTAGCGACTCGGTGATGGTACTGACAAGAGAGGGGAGGAGTAGGTTTGACGGAAGAAAAAAGAGGTCATTTCTGACTTGCTGCACGTGAGTGCCTACGGGACACAAGGGCAAAGCCGTTTGGAAAGTGGTTGTAAATGTACCTTGTCTGGGTAGAGATCCAGACTTCCAACAACATATAGGTTGGGTGAAGTATCAGGAGCAGCTGTAATCACCAAGTATGGTCTATAAATTCCGACCATCGGAAGGAATCGCTTCTACACCTCACAAGAAAACACCCGATCTGTCGCCTCGGTGTACACAACAGGTCCCAGAAAGTGCGCAACTGGGGTAACATTTTGGATAAAACTCCGCCCGCCCCGAGTCTGCGCAGGCGTTCGGCGCATGCGCACTAGCCTCCCCGCAGCCGCACCCTCCTCTGGGCGTCGGGACTCCTTTCGTCTTACCGGCCCCGCCCAGGCGGCTGCCCGTGACCTGCCTGGGCGCAGGGAACGGCAAGCCAGAAGGGGCAACACGAGTTCACTTCGCCATGGGGCTGTTTGGAAAAACGCAGGAGAAGCCGCCCAAAGAGCTGGTAAGGGCCACGGCGGCGGCACACGAGCGGGTGGATCTGCGAGGGGCGTAGTGGAGTTGCTAACCGACTGGATACTCCTTCCCCTCCAGCTGGCCAGCTACCGCTCGGCCCTCATTTCCGGGGCCTCCCACTTGACGAGGGGCCGGAGGAAGAGTCTCTAAGGAGACCGCTGTGGTGGAAGAGCCCCGGCCCCTCAGCACTCCACCAGGAAGCCGAGGGCCGGAGGAACGGTCCCTCAGCCTCGGCAGGGGCGCGGAGGCAGCGGCGGAGTCCCGGCCCTGAAGCCCCCTCCCCTGCGCGCGTTGGTACGTCCCGCCCAGCGCGGCTCCGGGGCACAGGCCCCGCCCCTCAGCCAGCCCTCGGACGGCCGGCGCCCTGCCCCTACGCCTGACCCTGCCCGGAGCGCGGCCACCCGGGACTCTCCACGGCCGCGGGCAGGTCCGGGCACCTGCCGCTTCCCCACGTCTCCCGCTGTGTTGAGACGGAGGCCCGGTTTCCTCTTTGCCCTGCCCTACCACATGGTGTGGGCCCCAGACACGTCAGTTGATAAGCAGGGACCTGACTCGGAAGAATGGTCCCGACGATAACTCTGGACCTGGCTTCGAGTTCTGGGTCTGCCTTTTAACTCACATGTCGGGGTAGTGTGTAGCGGTTAAGGGTGCCCTGCAGAGTCAGTCTGGCTGAGTTTGAGTCCTGGTTCCCCACATGGCCTTTGTGATCTAGGGAAAGTTCATCTCTGCCTTGGTCTTGTCTGTCAAGTAGGAATGATAATAGTATCAATTCAGAGTCACTGACGATGAAAGGATGTAAAGTTTTAGCTAGTAGTGCTGTTTAGGGTTAATTCTTTATATGTCGTACAACCTTGCTCCCCAAGTGAAGAAAAGCAGCATCAGTATCGCCTGGGAGCTTGTTAGAACTCGGGCCCTACCCATGACCTTTTGAATTAGCGTTTGAGTTCTGACAAGATCCGCAATGATAAGTGTGCTCATTAAAGTTTGGGAGGTACTGTATTATACAACACTGAGTACAGGTTTATCCATAATGGAAAAACCTCTAAAATCCTTCATTTAGTAAATGATCTTACCTATTCAGCTCTGGCAGGCATATTTTTATAACCACTATTAGGCATCATGAAGTTGCTGGCGCATAATGTGTGTTAATGTTGTTTATATTTGTTAACCATAGGTCCTAGAGCAGTAGGTACTCAATAAATACTCCTTCAGGCAACTTACTCAATTTTATTCCCTGGTAAAATAGAAATTGTGGAGCTTAAATGAGGTAAGAGTGTGTGACATTTATTTGCAAACTAGAGCATTTCTTTGTGAACTAGAGCGTTACACAGATGTGACATGTATGTATTCTAAGATGCTTATTACTGTAGGAGTGTATTTTTGGTGTCGTAGAAAGATTATTACCTTCCGTGTTTGGCTTTAGCTTTGCCAGTCATAAAAAAAGATTCTGGGAATACAGTCTCATCGCTATTTAAACTGATCTCTGGTATATGTATTAGTTTTATAACACTTAGACTATTTTTAAATGATAAATATAATTGCTAAAAACATGATGTTGGTAGACTCTTCCAGTTCAGTGACCTACCTGGGAAAGTAAATTAACACCAGGAGATCACAGGGTTGATGCATGAGATTGGATTTTAAAATATGCCTGCCAGAGAGATGCTATAAAGTTGAAACAACCATGTAGCAAGCAAGATAAGCATTTCAAAGACAAGTTTGGATTGGGTACTACATATGTAGGGATAGGAGTTCAGAGATTGGAGTGATCACCCCCAGTGTGGTCAGAAATGATTTTGCCCTCCACAGTCATGTTTTCCACACACCTCCTGCCTTGAATTGGTTGTTGGTAATTTAGCAGGAGTTTTAGTATTAGATTATTTAGCTGGTGCTGGAGATACGCTGCCCAAGATTTTCTTCAAGTTCTCTTTCACGGTTCTCTGAGCTGCCCTTTCGGTTCTGTTTATATCAAGTTCTAATTTGTCAGAAGAGTGTCTCTCTTTGCTTTAGGTTCAGCTTCTACCAGGCTCTCTTTATACCTCGTGATTTATGACCAAGGAAAGTGTTTTGTCACCTGCCACAGTTATTTAGCATTGAATTTGTAATTCCAGAAAGTGCCAATAAAGCAGGGATGAGAAATACTTTTTTCTCTGTAGAGCTCCTGACACCCAGATAAAGTATTGAGAGCCATATATGAATTAGAAGACAAGTAATAGACATCAGGCATTTTAGTTTTAGTTAGTTTGGCATTTCTTTTAAGAGGGAGAAGGAGAAAAATTAAATATTCAACTGTGTAAAAGAAGTTAAGTAAAGGAAATTAAAAAAAGCAAGATAATGTTGGCAGAGAAGAGTTAAAGAAAGGAGAGAATTGGCTAGATGCTATACTTTCAACTGGGCATCTCTTGAGTTAGGATAAATTTATAGTAGGCCTTCCACTGGGGACTGGAGATGAGGCCATGTGGGTCCTGGGCTCAGCACAGGATAAGCAGGGGCCAGGTGCAGCCGTGCCACACCATCATGGTTATCATTTAGGCCATGGTGACAAGTCAAGCAAGTTAGATAGATTATGGGTGGTATTTCCCAGAGCTCTGGTGTGTTATTCAACACAGAGTGCTAAATAAATGTTGAGTTATGAATGAACATCAGAATAAGATTTAAGTAAGGTTTAAAGTCGAGTAATCCTAAGGTGAGCAGTGTTTCAAGGGATGCTCCAGGGAAACATTATATATATTAGGAATCTTACAGAGTAAAGTCTTTGCCCCGAGGCACCTCAGACACTTTGAGGGAGACATCTTAGTGGTGAAACTTGTTTCATCTTGAAGTATCCTAGTTAGGACTAGATTGGGCCTGCTGAGTATGAGGGAGCCTTGTACTCCATTTAGAAACCTGTGACTGTCTTGGGATAGCAATCAAGAGAACATGAGCTTCTACTGCAAAGAGATCTTTCTCCTGGATTTGAGGTTCTGCTGGAAAATTGTGCTATCCTTACACAGGGACTTCACTGATTTAACCTTTGAGGAGCCACTTTCCATGGCATCAGTTCTTAAATCATATGACTAACATAGCCTTAGACTGGGTCATGATTCATGGTTTGGGGATACTATCAGATAAGGGAAGAAAATGAGAAAGGAAGTTGGAGAAAAAGAGAAGGCTCCATTCGCTTAGCTCATACAGCAGACATTTATTGAGAGATTTTGGTGTGCATTGGGTTGGACAGCAGGTTTACACAAATAAGACGCTAGATGACAGCTTCAAAGAATACCAGGCTTACTGGGGTGAGACTGACATGTAAACAAATACTTAGATTTTAGGGTAAATAAGAGCAGTAATATCAGTGTGTACAAGATCTGTGATGTCACAGTGGAGGGAGTGATTAATTGTTCAGAGTGGGGAAGAAGACCTGATGAGGGAGAGTATCTGGGTCTTGTCACAAGAAGCATTAGCCAGGTGGATGGGTTGGTATAGGATTAATAAAGGCAAGGCATTCCAAGAAAAGTCGACTGCATACGCAAGGTGTGGAATTGTGGAACATAGGTTGGAGGAACCAGAAAAAAGTTCAGAGTGGTTGGAGGATGAAATATTATTATGTCTGAATGTGTTGTAGGAGGAGTGATGGCAGTGGTAAGATGAAAAATTGCAGAGGTAGGTAGAGGGCAGATTGGCAAAGACCTGTGTGTTATGCCTGCTAAGCATGGGGAATGTTCAGAATAGTGGTTGGGAACAAGAATTGGAGGGGAGACTCTTAGGTCTGGAGGCCAGTTAGTGGCCCTGGTGAGAGATGATGTGAGTCTTAACTAAGAGTAAAAACAGGGATAGAGAGGATAGGATGAGTTTTAGAAATATTGAGGACGTATAGTCAGGATTTGCTGATCTACTGGATGTGGGATGAGAGTGCGAAGATGATTCTTAGGTTTCTGTTTAACCTCACCCCCAGTCAAACCAGTCCTTCCCACTGAGTGTCAGTACTGTGAACTGAAATTAAGAAGATTCAAGAAAAGAGCAGATTTAATGGGATGGTGATGGTGGAGGGCAAGAAGCCACAGAGCTCAGTGTTAGAATTCAGGAGTTCAAGGAAATCTCTAGAGAGAGGGTTATCCTGGGAAAATGCTTTTCTTTTCTTCTTTGTCTCCTCTGCAAAATTGTGTCTTGAGAGCAAGGATCATATTTGTCATATTTTTCTTTATCATCCACTGGGCCAGCATAATGTTGAACTCCTTAATAAGAGTAAGGTGGCTGTCAGATATTTGCTTGATGAGCAGAAGCAGAGATGGTGAGAGGAAATGCTTACACATTTGAAGTATAGCCTAATTGACTGTCTTATGTATATCCATCTGACAGTGATCAGAATCGGCAAATTTTTATCTAAGTTCACTTATATTTGTTGTTTTTGGCTAACTTCTAGTTTTATGTATGTTTTAAATCTTGAAGGATACATAAAATCCTGGTTTACAGAGATTACCTTCAGGGAGAGGAGCCAGGTAGCTGAGGGTCAAAAGTGGGAGAGGAACTTTTCACTATACCTGTTTTGGTCTCCTTGGGCTGCTATAACAAAATACTATAGACTGGGTGGCTTATACACAACAGAAATTTATTTCTCACAATTCTAGAGGCTGGGAAGTCCAAGATGAAGGCAGATGCGGTGTCTAGTGAGGACCCAATTCCTAATTCATAGACAGCCATCTTTTCACTGTGTCCTCACATGGCAGAAGGGGAGAATCAAGCTTTCTGATGTCTCTTTTTTTTTTTTTTTTTTTTTTTGCTGAGGGAGATTTGCCGTGAGCTAACATCTGTGCCAGGATTCCTCTATTTTTTAGTATGTGGGCCGCTAGCACAGCATGGCCGATAACAAAGTAGTGTAGGTCCACACCTGGGAACCAAACCTGGGCCACCAAAGCAGAGCCCACTGAACATAACCACTAGGCCACCGGGACTGGCCCTGAGGTCTCTTTGATAAGGGCACTAAACCCATTCATGAGGGCTTTGCCCTCATGACCTAATCACTTCCCAAAGGCCCCGCTTCCAAATACCATCCCACTGGGGTTTGGGTTTCAACATAGGGATTTGGGGGGGACACAAACATTCTGTCTATAAGGAACACTGATTTCTTTTAGTGGGAATGGTATTTAGAAACCAAAATTTAAGTGCTCATGGTACTGATTGCTGCTGGAGTATTCTTGCTTCTAGGCCTTTTAATTGGACAGAACTAAGAAATACATGCTTTAAAAAATCATGAGGGTGATCAGAGACTAGGTTGTTTTGAACCAACCCTCCTGCTGAAAATAACTGGAAGAGCTAGATAAAAAGTATAACTGTTTGTAATCACTGAATGCTACCAAGGCAGTGAAGAATTGCAGAATCAAGATCCCAGAGAAGAGGGAAGTTCAATTACGTGAGCCCAGTCGTTTGGGAATACCTTCCCTCCAAAGAGATTCTCTCATTCCTATGCACTGGTTTTGAAACTCAGAAACTGAGTAGAGATTTTGACAGACTTGTGGGTAGGGGGTTCAAATATTGGAGTCTCAAGGATAAGAGACTTGGGTAGATCCCCGGGGCTTTTGGTTCAGCTTCTGAAAGGATACACTTTAGCAGTAACAGTGAGGTGGAAATAAACCGGCCTTGACAAAGACTGAAGTCCGGTTTCAAATCATCTCTATCCCCGATTGGATTCGTTAAGCTTAATTATGTTTTTCAGAAGCAAATATAAGTCATCTCTGGAAGAAGCTATCATTGAGAGACAAATTTTCCTGCATATTTTCATATACATTGTTCAGAATTCAATAAAAAAGGAAAAAAAGACATTGATTCATAGGAAATCTTTATATATTCTGGATACAAGTCTTTCTGTATTCTGGATACGAGTCTTTATATATTCTGGATATGAAGTATTTATGAATGCTTTTTGTTACCATTTATATAGTTTCAAATATCTTCTCCCAATTTGTGCCCTTTTTCCTTCCTTTAAATGGTGTCTTATGATAAATAAAAATTCTCAA